TTGAAAGAAGATTATATTTCTCCTTATATATTCCTCTGCCTTTTAGGCTCCTCCTTTTCTGTTTCTTTTAAATAGAGTCATTGTCCTTTTTCTTGGCCACTCAATGTTGGAGTTGCACAAAGCTTGGTCCTAGGACTTCTCTTTCTATATTCTCTTCCTAAGCTGTCTCATAGGTAATCGCAGTTATCAGCTATAGGCAGACTCACAAATATATATCTTCAACTCTGCTCTCCCTAAATTTGCTTATAGTCTCTCAAAGATAGCCCAGAGTCTTTATGTCCAAAACGGAACTCATGATCTTTGTCCCACTTATTCAGTACCGTGCCATCTTGTCCTCTGCCAGTGTCCTCTCACAGTGAATGACGTCGTCCCCAAATTGTACAAGCTGGAAAACTCAGAACTATCCTTATCCTTGACTCCTCCCTCTTTCTTATTCTCACCATCTAATTTCATCCTTGAGTTGTGCTGATTTTATTTCTCTTGAGAATATGTGCTTTTATCTTTTTCCATCACACTGCTCTTGATAAAGCTATAGTTATCTCTCCCATGGACTACCCCAGTAGCCTACTAACTTGTCCTTCTGCAACCACCTTATATCCCTAAACACACACACACACACACACACACATACACACACACACACACACACACACACACACACACACACAAACACAGTTTAAAAAGTCATCAAGAATGCAAAATACATCTCTTCTTTTTATTATGCCAGCCTCTTATTTAAACTTTTAGATTATTCCATTTTTTTTGTAGTCCAGAAGTGAAATTTATTAACGTGGTTCACAAGACCCTATCTTCCTCTTCTACCTCATGGTCTACCAACTCCCCTGGCCTCTTGCCCTTCTCCGTATCTCCTACCCCTTCAACTTCAGTGTCTTTCTTTCATCTGCTCCTGCACATACTCTTTATTCCAGCCACCAGGCCTTTGCAGCTTTTCACCCGACCCTCTGAGTAAGGCATTTCACCCCCTCTTCCCTTAATTAATCCTTACTCCTCACATTTCAGCCTTAAGAGTCATTTCTTCAGAGAAACCTTTACTGTTTCCATAAGTCTTAAATTTCTCTGCCTTCCATAAAATTAAGTACTCATAACGAAGAATTATTCGTAAATAATTGCTTTAGATTTTTTTGTTTTGGTTTGGTTTTGGTAGTAGTTTTGTTTGTTTTTTGTTTTTGATGCTTGTATTCTGCCTCATTTTTAAAACCTCTATTCTAATTACTTGGTCTTTGTTGGCTATAAAGCATACATCTATTTCTATATTCTATATTCTCAAGAAATTACATAAGATTTACTGAAATAGATACAGAGGAAGTTTCTCTTGGAAATGGAGGCTAAGAATCTTAAAGTCACCTATGAATTTTAGACTAACCATCTGGCTGTTTTAAAAGTCATATTCTCATTTAGTTATTTGAAGAGTCATACTCCTATTTTTTTCAAATTGGGCAGTGTGTTGACATAGTAAACTAGTCTATTTTTGATTTTGGATGGGGATTTCAACGTCTTTCCCATTTTTTAAAAAAAGGTTTTTTTCTCATGATATTTATTGGACCAAATGTCTTCTAATTTTTTTTTTAAGAAATAAAATGTACAGATATAGTTGAGGCCCTGTGTATCATTTCTTGGCTCTATTCCTATATTTTCCTACTTAGAAATAACTACTATTCTGAATTTGATCTTGCTTATTCTCATTCAAAAATTTTTAAAATTTCACTTGTGTATCTGTACATAAAATATTATGTATTCTTTATTTTTTAAATTGGTTCTGCAACTTGCTTCATTTAATATTGTCTTAAAATTTTATATATGTTAGTCTACATAGCCAGGTCATTTATTCTTACCAATATTATTGTATACTACTGCAAGACTATGTCACAGTTTAACCAGTTTTTATTAATAAATATAGGACAGTGTGTTTTTGTTGATAGATATTTAGATTGTACCTGGTATTTTGTGGGGTTTTTTTCCTACTCAGTTAACTTTTTATTTTTTCTATTGCAAAGTGCTGCCATGATCATTATTGTGTATCTTTTTGTGCAGAAATGTAGAATACATCTCTCCTAGTATAATTGCTAGTTGAGAGACATACATACTCAACTTCACTAGATAATGTCAGTATCCTCTTCAAAGTGGTTGTACCAACTTCTGTTAACACTGCGCGAGATTTCCTTTTACTCCACATTCTTATTGATACTTTACATTATCAGATATCTTAGTTTTTGCCAATCTTATGGATACAAAATGGTATCTTGTTTTAATTTCCATAATTTCTAGTGCGGTTTTTCGAATTTAATCTTTTTTATGTTCAACATCTTCTCTGAAATTATTTGACTTGGTATCTCAAACAATTAACATTTACTAACTACCAACTTGAACCCAGAGTTGTCCGAGGCCTTGGGAAAGGCTTAAGCAATATAAAATTGGTACCAGTACATAAGCAATAAAGGTCTTCTAATCTATCCATGAAGCTAACACTTTGGGAAAGTGGCCCAGCCTATCATTTAATGAGTATTGCCTTTTAATACTTTGCAGTGTGTAATTGTGAGTTATCAAGTTTGGGAAGTAATACTGAACATTCATTTAATTTTTTTAGGTAGAAAAATATATCTAGTATATATCGATTTAATTATATTCAGATCTCTTTCTGAACTGTTTCATAGGAAGAATGTAAGAAGTTAGCCTAGGTTACTTACACTGCTACTAGCAGTAACTTTATAAGATATTTGATAAGTTCAATCTATATGGTTCTCTTAATATAGGCATGTCATATCAAAAAGCCTTCAATGAGTGGCACCTCAGAGAGTCAAAATGAGGACCTGCCAGTCTCTTGGAACCGAATATCACTTTCAGGGTGAAACAAAGCCCACACTTCACATTACGAGTCCAGGTCAAAGATGATAATACAGAGAATTTTTGCTAAGATTGCAGTGAAGGCAAAGAAGGACTCCTGCTCCTCCCCAAACCCAAATCAGAGCAAAATACTTGAAAGGCCAAGAAGGCTGTATTGAAAGGCACAAAAATATCTGCATGTCACCCTCCTATAAGCCAGTTTACTGTGACTGTGCTGATAGCTTGGAAAAGCCCTTCCAAAGGGAACAAGCTGAACCACTGCCTCTGTCCAGTTCTCCATGAGGCCCCCCACCTCAGGATCAAGCAGGTGTGAAGTCCTGTGACACTGAAGAGGTCATGTGAGCAGATCTGGCAGAGAGGAGATGATGCATGTTTGGCCCTCGACTGTGATGCTCTGGGTATAAATAGAATGGGATTGTCTAAGCCATGTCCACTCGGTTACTTCTAAATTTAACAGATTTTCCCACCATCAAAAAAAATGAATGCAGAAGAAATGGAAGAGAAAGGAAGGAACAGAACAGTTGAGAGGTACATTTTGGAAGTAGAGTCAAGAGGTCTTGTTGAAGGGTCTGATATACAGATTTTGGTGAGAGCTTGTTGTTAAAGATGATTCTGAAGTCCTTGTAATTAAGGTGCTTTAAATAGGTTTTTCCATTAGTGTGATTTTTTTTGAGGCATATCAGTACATTACATATCTATTTTAAATTGTGTTGAAGTATACATAACATAAGATCTACCATTCTAACCATTTTTAAGTATACAGCTCAGTGGCATCAAATAAATTCACATTGTTGTGTAGTCAGTCATCACCACCTCCATGTCCACAACATTTTTCATCTTCCCAAACTGAACTCTGTACCTATTAAACAATAAACCCTATGCCTCTGTTCCCCAAGGCCCTGGCACTACCAGTCTACCTCTGTCTCTATTAATTTGACTATACTCTCCTATGTACCTCCTATGTAAGTGGAGTCTTAGAGTGTTTGTCTTTTTGTGACTGGTTTATATCTGTTAGCATAATGTTCTCAAGGTTTGTTCATATTATAGTTTGTGTCAGAATTTCCTTTTGAAGGCTGAATAATATTCTATTATATGTATGTACCATTTTGTTTACCATTCATCCTTCAACAGACACTGAACTCTTGAATAATGGGTATAGAGGTATGAGTCACTACTTTCAGTTCTTTGGAGTATATATGCTTTCTCCACATCCTTGTCCACACTTGTTATTTTCTGCTTTTTAAAAAAGAAATGTGAGCATCCTAATGAGTCTGAAGTGATATCACATGGTGGTTTTGATTTGCAGTTACCTAGTGATTAATGATGTTGATCATCTTTCCATGTTCTTTTTGGCCATTTGTATATATTCCTTGGAGAAATGTTACTTCTGAAAGCACCAGCTTTCAATTTTACTCTGATAAAACATGTATGTCATAATATAGACTTTTTGGAATATCACCAATTGTTGGGTTTTCTGTTTTTGTGAACTAGATGCTTGGTTTTGAATTTAACACATTTTCAAAGACAACATAGAGGAAAAAGAGCCAAATCATGTTTTTGAAAAATGGGCCTTAATTTTTTTAAAAAGCAAAATAAAAGGACTGAATACTCTTTAACATTCATGTTGCAAGTGCTTTTCATTTTATTTTGGTTTTATAGAAAGTGGCAAATATATTTTCATTATTCTTTAATATGACTATAATAAAAATGCTACAGGAAATTGTTTCCTTTTCAAATTTTTTAAGTAGGTTATATCATTTAATCTTTTATAAAGTTTCTGATCAACCAGTAGATATGACTAGAGTTAGACCCCTCAAAAGAACATTGCTTTTAGATAGAAACCATGTGAAGGATCATTTTGTTTCATTTCTGCAGTATTTTTCTTTTATTCCTAGTAATGAGTAATTGAATAAAAATTTAACTTTTATTGCATATGGTATATTCACACACACACACGCACACACCCTACTTGAGTTCATCTAGTTAACAACTGCCTTGGAAGCCAAGCCTTGCCAAGTTAGAGTTGAGACTGAGAAATCTCATTTGTAGTTCATTACCAGAATCCTGTAGTGTCTTGTAAGCAGGTTAATTTCTTCAAATGGATGTTTTTACAGAAATATGTCTCTTTTCTTTAACAGCTGTTTCGAGAAGTACGAATAATGAAGATACTGAATCATCCTAACATAGGTATGAAATGTACACATACAATTAATGATAAAATATTGACCTTCATCTGAGGCTTTTTAAAAATATACTATCTTAATGACATTTTATATGAAAAGAAGAGTAATTACCTGAGTTTGAGAACCTGAGAAAGATACTTTAAGTAAAAATAGATTACAGAGAAGTTCATTGAAGGCTACAAATTGCTGTTTTCTACTAGCTTGCTGTCTTCTGCTCTCCACTAAAATAATATATACAACTTGGAGTTAAGGCATACAAATATTTTTTTGAATCTCCTTATTAAATTGCTCTAGAGATTGCATGCCCTTTAGGTGTTTGTAAAAAATCAGTTGCAGGTAATGTGATAATAGCATTTGCTTTTGATCATAGTTTCAGGCAAAATAACAAATTTGAATTTGAAGGAAAATAGTTTATTTCAATTTTAGTGAATTTATTTCTTTACATTCTGGTTTTCCCCTATATTTACAAATAAGTTTATTGATTATATATACTATACAAAGTCATTAAATTAAAAAAGTAAAAAAGTAATTCTTTTAATTCTTTTGAAAAATCTTTATTAATTCTTAAATAAAGATTTAAGAATTTTATATTTATTGGAGATACTAAAGTTATTATTTGTGGTGTAAAGATTTTTCCTTTTCGTTATTGTTATTCTAATTAGAAAAGCAATGATTTTTTAATCCCCGAAACTTAACTCTTTTGACCCAGCAGTTGTTTCCAAATCAAAAGGACTGAATACTCTTTAACATTCATGTTGCAAGTGCTTTTCATTTTATTTTGGTTTTATAGAAAGTGGCAAATATATTTTCATTATTCTTTAATATGACTATAATAAAAATGCTACAGGAAATTGTTTCCTTTTCAAATTTTTTAAGTAGGTTATATCATTTAATCTTTTATAAAGTTTCTGATCAACCAGTAGATATGACTAGAGTTAGACCCCTCAAAAGAACATTGCTTTTAGATAGAAACCATGTGAAGGATCATTTTGTTTCATTTCTGCAGTATTTTTCTTTTATTCCTAGTAATGAGTAATTGAATAAAAATTTAACTTTTATTGCATATGGTATATTCACACACACACACGCACACACCCTACTTGAGTTCATCTAGTTAACAACTGCCTTGGAAGCCAAGCCTTGCCAAGTTAGAGTTGAGACTGAGAAATCTCATTTGTAGTTCATTACCAGAATCCTGTAGTGTCTTGTAAGCAGGTTAATTTCTTCAAATGGATGTTTTTACAGAAATATGTCTCTTTTCTTTAACAGCTGTTTCGAGAAGTACGAATAATGAAGATACTGAATCATCCTAACATAGGTATGAAATGTACACATACAATTAATGATAAAATATTGACCTTCATCTGAGGCTTTTTAAAAATATACTATCTTAATGACATTTTATATGAAAAGAAGAGTAATTACCTGAGTTTGAGAACCTGAGAAAGATACTTTAAGTAAAAATAGATTACAGAGAAGTTCATTGAAGGCTACAAATTGCTGTTTTCTACTAGCTTGCTGTCTTCTGCTCTCCACTAAAATAATATATACAACTTGGAGTTAAGGCATACAAATATTTTTTTGAATCTCCTTATTAAATTGCTCTAGAGATTGCATGCCCTTTAGGTGTTTGTAAAAAATCAGTTGCAGGTAATGTGATAATAGCATTTGCTTTTGATCATAGTTTCAGGCAAAATAACAAATTTGAATTTGAAGGAAAATAGTTTATTTCAATTTTAGTGAATTTATTTCTTTACATTCTGGTTTTCCCCTATATTTACAAATAAGTTTATTGATTATATATACTATACAAAGTCATTAAATTAAAAAAGTAAAAAAGTAATTCTTTTAATTCTTTTGAAAAATCTTTATTAATTCTTAAATAAAGATTTAAGAATTTTATATTTATTGGAGATACTAAAGTTATTATTTGTGGTGTAAAGATTTTTCCTTTTCGTTATTGTTATTCTAATTAGAAAAGCAATGATTTTTTAATCCCCGAAACTTAACTCTTTTGACCCAGCAGTTGTTTCCAAATCACTTCATGGTAAGTAGTTTTTTCTCATAGTAGTAATAATCCTTGAGAGTTTTTAAATTTCAAATTGTAATTAATAATTTTTAGTAAAAACTCAATTTCCCCTGGTTTTGTGTTCCCTTAAATTATCTTCAAGCATATCCAATATGTGCTAACAATTATAGAATTATATCTCTAATTTCTTTTTTCAGTAAAATTGTTTGAAGTTATTGAAACAGAGAAGACCCTCTACTTAGTCATGGAATATGCGAGTGGGGGTAAGAATGAGGGGAATTGCAAAATTATCTGATGAGTCATATAGAATTGTTAACACCTAAAGCTTCATTATAACATTTATGCTTTCTTTGTGAATGAATTTAATTAATTAATTTAAAATGTTTTTAAATTATGTCTTGAGGAAAATTCAGTGTTTTCAAGACCTATTGACCCTACTACATCTAAAAGTTGAATTTTGGGCTAATTTAAAAATTACTTAGGAACATTTTTCAAAACTATCAATCTGTTTAGATTATCAACTAATTGTTATCTATGAATGTTTTGATTTTCTTATCTAAATATTAAATCATTATGATTAGATGCTTTTGGCTATAAGCAGGAAATCTCAAATTCAGAATGTATTCAATAAAAAGTTTATAGTAAAAGCATATTCCAGGCCAGATGTTTGTTTCACTGATTGTTCTTATAGGACAGATTTTCAATATACATAGATTTTTCAAGATTAATCCATGAACTATTTCAACTTAAACAAATTCAGTTTATAACAGTTTTGTAAGTTAGAAGACTGAATTGACAGTTAAGTAGTAAGGTACATATGTAGTAGAATGTAATATATATTTTGACTACATAGTGTCAAAAACAGGAATGATTTTTAAATGCTGTTGTATTATAGAAAATTGTTTTCATTTCCTGCATTTTATCTCAAATGAGAACTACATTGGCTCAAAATCACTATTCTGTTAGGCATAGGACTTTCTCAAACATGTTTAAAATTTATGGAGTTAAAACATTTAATAAGTAAAAGAATGCTTGAAATTTTTTAAAGCTTAGAGAATTTAAACAATTGAAAAAGTGATAGCAGTTGAAATTATTTAAACCACTTAGGCTAACTTTTTTGCTAATCAGAAAAATTCAGAGTTGAATTCAGTATTATGTCCCTTTAGCTAATAAAGTACATAGATTTTTATGATGATTCAGATTTTATGTTACTAGAATAAAGAGGATTTAAATTATGCATCTAAATTATGTATTTTTATTCTGTCTCTTAGATTTCTAAAACTTTTTACTACAAATATTAAACATTTTTAATTGCTTTCTCAGTTTTATATGCAGACTGCAAGTTTTAGTAGATTTGGGTTTTTGCATAGCTTTTTTCATCCTGAAAGTATTTCAATGTAAGTTTTTTTTAACTTAACCTGAAAACCTATGACATTAATGTTATAGGATTTAAAAAATATATTAATATAGCCATATAAATTTGCATTTAGTAAATCTGTAATAAAATTAATGAACATAAAAATACCACATAATTGAATATTTCTCTATTTTTCTACCCTTCAGTTTTATATAACAATTTGTCAGTGTTGAAACCCCGAGTGTTATTTTCAACTCAGTTAGACTATTTTTCCTTTTAGTGATCTAAAGTTTAGAAAAAGAGGCTTGACATGCTCTGATATGAGAAATTATATAGACTATTAAAAATCTGTGGGTACTGTACTATCTTTATGAAGGGCTACCACAAGGCTGTGTTAATATGTATACTGTTTTAACAACTAATGGTAAGTACAGTCAACTCTCTATTGGTGTAAATGAAGTGGAGCAATGGCTGGGGTAATAGCACATCGGGTCATCACTGCTCTTCCCCTGTAGCATAGTCAGGAGGGGTGCTGGGGTGTAGGTAGAGAGATGTGTACTGGAATTCAGCAGAGCTAGGTGGTCCCTCATTCAATTCTGATTCCTAGTGATAGGTTATCTTTGGATCTTGCCAGTTAGTAAACCTCTAACAAAATCATCATGGCTCTGTGGCAGTAAATCTAGAATAATTTTCTTGCCTTTTAAGTCTATGGATACCAAGGTAACTTTTATAGTAAACACTTAATATTTTCCCTCTGAAACTTCTAGATACTTTAGGATTCAATCTGACATGCACACTAGAAATCTAGCATGAGCAAGAGTTCAGTCAGGCAACCGCTTCTTTCCCAGGAGTAGATCAGTTAATTATGGTACACTAATGAGCAAAGATTTTTAGTCATTATGTAGGCAGGGAATGCCTTTATGATCTGAACCAAGTTTAGTCCAAAAGAGCCTCTTAAAGTGGGTGTTCGGGGCTACTCTGGAGCAGTGTGTTTATTCTTTCTTCTGTTCATGAAAACAATATTTAATGTTTACTGTATGCTAGATAATATTCTAGGTGCTGGGAACACATGGCTAAGCAAAGACAAAGTCTTAGCCCTCAAAAAGATTACATTCTAGTCGGGGAAGCAAATCATTAATGACCAACTTATAACAAAAGGTCTGGGTCGTTTAAATATCTGGAGTATGGGCATTCCAGGCAGAATTTAAAGAGTCTAAATTTTTCATCTCTTGCATTTATCTTTCCTAGCTTAAACTCACATATCTAGGATTAACTACTGTGATGCGTCAGCTAGAGCATCCATTTCTGTGTCTTCATCATCCCATTCAATCACTTGAATATGCTTTATATAATGTGCTGTCTTGACATTCTAGATGTATTAGTTTCATCTGACATACATCTTTACATATTTCATTTTTAATATTTTATTTATATCCTAGGATTGATGCTATATATGTGTAATTGTCTATATACCTAGACACAAATATATAATTTATTGAGTGCTTACTATTTGCCAGTTACTGTGCTAATTAATTAAGCACATGCTTTATTTTGATTTAATCCTCACAACAGCCGTGTTGAGATAGGCAATAGATAGAAACTGAGTCTTAATGAGGTTAAGAAATCTTCCTAAGGTCTCCCAACATCTACTAAGGTCTGAACCAGAGTTTATACCAAAATTGGTTTTATTCAAAACCCAGAGTTTTTAACCTTTTTGCTATACTTTACAAGAATTCTTTAAGCCATTTTGTAAGTTTTCAACATGTATGTATATCTATATGGCATAAGTTATAAGGACACAAAAAATGAGTTTCTCCCTTACAGTGAAATATCTTAATAGGTTAATGGATATTAATTTACTTTTTAAAATTAATTAGAGGGAAGAGAAAAATGAAATAAGCTACAGACATGTAAAGTAATGGATCTAGTAGCAATCTTCCAAAGTTTTTAGTTATCTTTAACTTACTTCAACAGGTATGTATTGTCTGTCCACTTTGTGTTCTGTCATGGGGATAGGGATGTAAATAAAGTACAGACGTAGTGAATATGATGGTGGTGTTCAAGTAGTTTGCAGTTCATTGAGTACTAGGAGATACACACAAGGATGCTTTAATTCTATATAATAAATAAAGTGCCAAAATAGAGAAATGAGCATAGTGAGACTAAGCATAATCAGAGTATAGGAAGGAAAAGGAAGAAAACCTGGATGGAAGCCATGAGATGGAGTTTGACCAAGACTGAGTGATGAATAGATTTTAAAAGAGAGAGATCCAACATAATATGACTTTTGTTATTTTGTTTAAAATATCAGCCCCAAATACAAAGCCAGATGTAAATTTTGACTGCCTATGCTGTGGCTTCCTCTTATTAGAATGGATAATAAAGAGTTGACTGTATTTTCATGTAAGACTTGAAAGCAGAAAGCAAGTTTTCTTGGTTATGTTTTTTGACTAATTTTTTAGAGTTTTGGTATATCATAAGCTGCTATAGATAATTCATTATGATTTTTTTCCTTTTTTTTCTATTGATATAATAATTTTTATTTACATAAAACAATCTAAAATTGTTGCCCAAAAGCTTCTTTAAAAAACAAGGCAAAATTTGACATTGCATATATTGTTAACTTAAAAGTCTCTGTTTATTTTACTGCCTGCTTTACCTTTCTGATTCAGGTGAAGTTTTTGATTACTTAGTTGCCCATGGAAGAATGAAAGAAAAAGAGGCCCGTGCAAAGTTTAGGCAGGTATGGAAAGTAGTTTTCAACTTTGTTTTGCTGATATTTTTAGTGATATACAGTGGATGATGTCATAAACTGTACTTCAGAATAAATGATATTTTAAAAAGAAAACTTCCTGCTTCCTTATTCTTTTTAAGACTGGAAAGCTGAAAAAGGTATCTGTTCTTCCTAAATTTAAATTTAAAATAGTTGCAAATGGTTATTTTTAGGTGATCATAAATAGTGAAATGTTTATACTTGAGACTCATTAACTCTTTGATAGTCTTAGAAATATAGACCAGACTAAGATAGAAAAGAAGTATTTAATCCTTTATCCATTAATTACCAAATATTATTAGCTTAATGTGTACAGTATATATGTATACTGTTTAAAGCAGTTATTGTGTTTTCTTTTATAATTAAAGATGTCTTTGGTGTTAGAACTCATTTTTATAGATGTTTAAAGACTGGTCAATTTTATTAGGTCAAGTAGGCAAGGAACCTTACAAATGTGACAGAAGGTTATGATAAGATATTTATATTTCAAGTTCAACTTGAATATGACTCATTAAAAAAGTGATAATATAGTAAAAAGTAATTTAAGTTCATCTAGTATTTTTAATTTTTAGGAGTGAAGTGATAGAAGTTGGCTTACTTTATAAATTACTGTAGAAATGACAAATTAATAAATTGTTAATTGTTTGCAAAATTTACTGAAGTAAAGTTTCAGCAAACAGCTTAATATTTCCCAAACTTTACTTCAGTGAATTTAAAATAATTTCATTTTAAAGTAGTTCAGTACCTCTTTGGAAGCATGAATACTGATTCTACAGTCAAAGGGATCCTGTAATCAGTAAGTTTAGGAGACACTGAGTACTGATACAATGTCTTCCTCTGAGAGAGTTGTTGTGTATGTTGACGTATAAACCACCGAAGAAGTCCTGAAGGAGAGGAATGAAAAAAACCTGTCCAGCCTTTATTCGACATAGCATTCTCCAAATTAATCACAGAATGAATTTGTTTTGTGATACCTCTTGTTATTAATGTTACACAAAATCATTACTTTTTGGAACACAATTTGGGAAATGCTTTATAGCAAAGACATGCATAGCTCCTTTATTTAGGAGAGATTCCCTAGAGGTATTCATCTTAAAATAGCTGAAATCCAAAGACAACTGCTAATGAGGCAGCAGCAGTGAGAACCTGGTGTCCAGCCCCACACTGCGAAATTTTTTCCCATCCCAGGATGGAAATCCAGGCTGACCTTAAATAAAGCTGTCATCATCACTTTGAGTATCATTGTTCTCTCAATATCAGTCACAGCAGTTTTAGTCAGTAACTGACCAGCACGAAAATTCCAGTTGGCATTAAATATTTTCACTGTAATCTTAATGTGTATTGTAAAGGCTATTACTACTCACTCTTGGGCTTTTTAGTCATCTGGTTTTATTTATTTTTGGAAAATTTACTGTGTGTAGAAAATTGGACCAGGTACCAAATGGAGTAAGAGAAGGTGAAAATGCCTGCTATTTTAAAGAGTTTGCTCATCTTTACTGAGGGGTGAGAGCAGGATAGGATGCTTGGACACAGTATTTTCATAAAGATCCAGAAAAAATTACCAGTTGATTTTTTTTTTAAACAAAGTCTGAATTATTTTGAAATCTGCCTCTTATTCTTCATGTTACATAGGTTGGGTATCAAATAAATGCTATTTAAAATGTAAAACAATAGGCAATATTTCCTTTATAATTGTTTATTATAAATATGCAATGTATTTACGATCTGTGTCTTCCCCTCAAATTAAAAAGATAACTGACTCACATTTTAAAAAACCAGAAATACACACACACACACACATACACACACACATTATTTTGTGATTACTGGACAAAAGATTGTATTTTTTTAAAATTTGTTTTTGAGGAACTAATATTTCTTTAAATATTTAACTAAAACTCTTAAGGAATTAATAAATGGACATTTAATTTTGTTTGCTGTGTCATGAAATTACTTTAAGTTTTTTTCACAGTGAAGGAATGTTCTATATTAGCAAGGATTACATGGATATGTCCTTGGCTCTACAATTAGAAAACTGCAAAGACCTAGGTTAGTTTTAAGACCATGTTAATGCCATTGACCATACAATGCCACTGCATTCCTGCAGTTTTGAGGGGTTGGGAGAAAAACATAGTTTTGATTCAACTCTTCCAATATCAAAGCTATTACTTAAAGCTTAGGAATTCTGACCCCCTCATAAGTAAGGTCAAAGCATCCCCATTTGCACCTCACAGCAAAACACTGACCTGTTTGGTTTTAGGCTAAGTATAGGGCTAATTGTAAATCATGTTTTCAAGATCCATAACAGAAGGATCAGAGGGAAAGTTCCTACATCCTATTTACGGAGGTACAGAATATTCTGAGATAGAGTCGGACTGTAAAACAATGCAGTAAAACTTGGGCTTGTGGGTGGGGCTTCTTGCAAGTGAGTCAGAAGCCAGAGCTGCTCTTCAATGACAAAAGTTGTACCCTCCTGAATAAATATGGTAATATTATAAAGCAGCATGTTTCTCTGTTAGAAGTCAGAGGCTATAGTTTGGGGAGAATGAATTCTTAATACAGAGCATTCTCTTTAATCACCTTTCCATTCTTAAGACTTTAAGGCTGAGATTTTTATTCTGGAAGTTCTTATGAAACTGCTTTCATAGAGATCATTCTTTCTAATGTGAAATGCATGCTTGGTAACCAAATCATTATCTGTAACATGCCTTCTTAGCTGTTATCCAGATGGAATGACTTGAAAAAGATAATACCATTATCAGCAAATTTCTGTCATCCATGATAGAAAAATTAGCCTTATAGTATGAATATACAATAGCCCATATAGTATGTTTGGGAAAATGTATTAGTATTTACATATAAATATTTATGTTTCTTGGCTAGTGAATATATTGTAGTGAAAATTGGATGGATATTAGACTTTTGAAATGTATTACTTAAGAAAACTAATACTACCACCATTCATTGTTAACATTTTATTGTTTTTTGGTAACTCATACTTGAAACTGATTGTAATCATTCACAATTGTTCTGCTCAAAAACATTTAGTGAGTGTGTAGTACCTGCTTAATTTGAAATTCAGAGACTTTTACCTGTCTGTCAAGGTCTAACCCCACTATTACCATGTTCCCACCTGCTTTTCTGATGCACTGTGTTGCCTCAACATCAGTGCCTTTCACCACATTACTCTTACCTCCCCATCACCAAACCTCTACATTTTAAAATACTGCCATCCTTCAAAGATCAAATACCGTCTACTCCAGGAAGTAGATGAAATTATTTTATAATCTAACCAACTGAAATTATTTTATATGATTCCCTCACTTCTTCATACCTTTACCTCTGTGATCCCGCCTTCATAGTCACGCATATGCATGTTATATACATGTGCTCTCCTCCTGCTCAAACTGTAGTGCTCATTTTTATATTTCCCTAGCAACCAGCACATTTTCTTGCACATAGCAGGTACTCAATAAACTTGAATCAAGATTAATTTAATTGAATTTCATATTACTTGTGTGTTGATTTTGTTTGAATTTGTCTTTCAACCATTTTAGTGTACATTAGATTAATTTTATAATCCTGAACTTCCCATTTCATTTCTATTTTGAAGTTCTTTTTATAAACCCATATTTCTCAGCATGGTCATACTTCAGATCATCTGTAGACTCTAAAAAAATGGCTTTTCTGTCTCATTTTTAAGTGCCTAACCAATATTCAACACTTGTTCTGTAGTTACATTTAACTGAACCTATAGAATTCAGTGTTCTGCTATGCATTAAAATGGTCATCATCCTATACATTAAATATAATTTCTTGACTGCTATCAGATTCTCTCAATTTCTGTATTTCATGTAGTAAATGACTATCATAGAATTGTTTAGAACCCATTTTTCATTTGTATCTTTGGCTCTTACTGTTGAGTTCCCCCCTGTTTAGTAGCCCTTGTCCCCAAAGAGCCCTATGTAATGTTTAAAAATTATGACTGCATATAAAATCCAATTACAGATATTGAATAAGAATACTTTTCCCTGCTAAGTTAATGACCAGTTTGAATTTCAGTATTCCCCCTTTTCTTTTTACAATTGGGTTTTTCTTTTTAAGGGTCAGAAGCTGCCCCATTTCTTTATATATTAACAGACAAATATAGGATATTGCTAAATAGTCCCTTGTAAGTTCTTAGTAAATTGGCCTTACTAAAAAAGCATGCCTTGAACATGTTTGATGATAATTCCTAAAATAGAATTTTGCTTCTTGAACTTGAAACAACTGTCTTTGAATATTGATTCATGTGTACCAAAGCTCTTATTCCAAATCTGGGTTAAACTCTCTGACCAAAACAACAAATTATACATATTTAATCATATAAACAGAGAAATATAACAACATGTAAAAATATTCAGGGTTTCTGACAAAGAAATATTTTAGAATATTTTAGCAAGAGAGTAATATTTGTTTACATTTTCTGCATTTAAGAATAAAAGTGTCAGTTACTTAAACTTTAATCACTTCCAAACTAAAGGAACAGTAAAATTATTAAATATTACTTTGAAATCCAAGTTATAATTTATCTAAATTGGAAGTAATAATTGGGACAAAATTGCAATGTTTTTCCCATAAAATAATTTTGAATCTTTTATTCAAATATTTATTTCAGATTGTATCAGCTGTACAGTATTGTCATCAAAAGTGCATTGTTCACCGTGATCTTAAGGTAAGCCGCTGAATTTATAACAAGAAATTCTTAATTATTAGCATATATTTTATATTAGAGCTATCTTTTTGGTTGCTTAATTGTGCCAGGCACTACTTAAGGAAATCAGTTCCATTTAATCCTCACAGCAACTTTGTGAAAGGCAATATTTTCACTGAGAAAATGAAGAAAATATGAATGGGAAGTTATCTAGCATTAAAGGCTCCAGGATTTGATCCACCATTAGTAAGCTTGTTTTGATAGATAAATGTAGAACTTTGTCCCCAACTGATTTAATGTAAAAATGCCTGAGACCCCACTCAGTCAGGAACAAGGTCAGGGTACAAATCCAGGTTTGTCTGATATGAGAGCCAGTGCTCATTCTTTACACTAAAGCTCAAAGAAATAAGGAAAGTTTTTAAATGGTCTTACAAACATCAAATGCATATATGTGATTTGTATAAACAACTATATTTTGGGATAAGAAATGTGTGATAGTCAAATGTTTGTCGCAGCGAACATGGGAGCAGAGATATCTATCTCTTCTACCTACTGATTTCATTTCCATTGCGTATATACCCAGAAAAGGGATTGCTGGGTCATGTTGGTAGTTCTATTTTTAGTTTTTTGAGAAACCTCCTTACTCTTCTCCATAGAGGCTGTACCAGTTTATAGTTCCACCAGCAGTGTACAAGATTCCCTTTTTTCTACATCCTCACCAACATTCTCTTATCTTTTATGTTTTTGGTAACAGCCATCCCAACAGGTGGAAAGTGGCATTTCACTGTGGTTTTGATGTACGTTTCCTTGATGATTAGTGATGTGGAGCACTTTTTCATGTACCTGTTGACCATTTGTATGTCTTTGGAAAAATGCCTGTTGAGGCGCTTTGCCCATTTTTTAATTGGGTTGTTTGGGGTTTTTTTTTGCTATTGAGTTGTTTGAGTTCCCTGTATATTTTGGATATTAACACTCTATCAGATATAGTTTACAAACATTTTCTCTCAGTCCATGGATTGCCTTTTCATTTTGTTGTTGGTGTCCTTTGCTGTATAGAAGATTTCAGTTTGAATGAAGTCTCACTTGTTTATTTTTGCTTTGATTGCCTGAGCTTTTGGTGTCATATTCAAAAAGTTAATAATACCATATTGAATACTGGAAATTTGCCAAGAGAGTAGATATCGGATGTTCTTGTCACACACACAAAGATGGTAACTCTGTAAGGAGATGATTTGTGAATTAGTTTGGCTGCTGTAATCATTCCACTGTGTACATGTACATGAAATCATCATGTTGGCCTTAAATACATAGTTTTTATTTTAAAAAAGAACAAAAGAAATGGTTGTGGCCAAATAGGTTTTAATGAAGGTAGAAAGTCCCTGGGTGAAAATGTTTGTCTTCTTTTTCCTTTTTCTCTCTCCTTCCAAATTTCACTTGTACCTTTCCTTACTTAAGAGTCTGTTTTTCTCTTTACTTCTTTTCCCATTGCCTCTGTCAATTACTAGCACTAGTTTGTTTTATATTTGAAAATACTGTCTTAAACAGCTGTTGGAAGTCTAACTACATTTTGGCTCCATTTTTCTGAGCTTACAGATTTTCTTCTTCTCCCAATTTTTCTGTTCCTTAGTTTTCTCCCTCAGCTCTTTTAGGAGAACACTTCCACAAAGAAAGGGAAAGAAGAGGACTATTCCTCTGCCTGTATGTTTGACTCCCTATCTATAATCTTATATGAAAAGTATCTGCAAATGATATTTAACACGCTGTGTTTTCCCTCCAGTCCTGTGGAGGAAGTTGCCCATGTGCTTCTGGAAGGAGACCTTAGAATGCCCTCCAGCTTTCTGAGGTGGCCTTGGTGCTCTGGTATCCATCCAGACATCCTCCAGGAGACTGAGAGAAGTCCAGCTTGCTTAGAGATGGCTCAGAGGTTTACGATGACCAGGCCCTTACATCAGAACATCAAAATAACTTTGGCTTTGTCACACAGCCCATCAATGTTATAATTTAATATAACTCTCCTCCATTTATGTGCTTTTATAATATTTATGCCATAGATAACATCACATTATTGTCACATATTTCTGAGTGCTAGATCTGTCTCCATTTCCCAAAACAAAGCCCAAGGTAGCATACCCTAAAAAAAAGAAAAAAGAAGGGGGCAGGGGAGGGACGCGCTGTGTGATGGGCGGGGTGCCTGACTCTGACGACTGCTGAACCCTCTAGGGATACAGAGGACTCTGATTTTCACTTCAGTCAACTTTTACTCCATTGTGTAACTTGATAAAACATCTACAAAGTAACCTATAATTGTTAGTCTATAAGTTATAGAGATTAAAGCAAACATGTACAAAAATCCTTTATTGAATTGCTTGCATTTATAAAAGGCACATTAAAAATGTTTTCTTTGAGTGATTCTGATTTAGGAATCTGGAAAACCAGCACCTCAAAACATGGGAGGAAATCACTGCTCTCTACCAAAATATGCCTTCAGAAGAACTAGTTTTAGAATAGCAAAAGGAAGCTTAAAATGGACAAGGTCTAATGGAGGCTTTCTTGTATTGTTTTACAAAACTAACAGAACTTTGTTGAGGAAACATTGAGAGAGGACAGAGTTGGATTCAGGAGCCACGGAACCCCTGGCTGGCAGTTATTTTAGGTATATCATGAGCTTTGAATTAACCAATGATACTCTATTCAAATAGAGCCCTTTGGGGTAAACTTGTTGGTTATTTAAGCCCTAGATGGATTAGTGTTAGGCTGACTTACGTTCTTTACAATAGGTTATATTAAGGTACAGTTCCAGGATGTTTCTTACCTTGAAGAAAAAAATGGGTTTAAAATAACCTATGGAAGAAAGTGGGTTTTAAATAACCTTTCTTAAACTGTTGCAGATATTCATATAAATGAGAGCTTTCCTTTTGTACTAAAATTCAGTCTTATTTAGATGAATTCTGAATAGTTATGTATTGAAGTACCACACCATGCTTCTAGATGTGATACTATATTTAAAAATGAGAGTCAAGAAATAGATGTTTAGGATCTGAAACAATTATAATAAGTATTTTATTTTATACAGGCTTTTTACTTTGTGCTTCTTATTGTATTCCTCTTAGGCAGAAAACCTTCTCCTTGATGCTGATATGAATATTAAAATTGCTGACTTTGGTTTTAGTAATGAATTTACGGTTGGGAACAAATTGGACACGTTTTGTGGAAGTCCACCCTATGCTGCTCCCGAGCTTTTCCAAGGGAAGAAGTACGATGGGCCTGAGGTGGATGTGTGGAGTCTTGGCGTCATTCTCTACACATTAGTCAGTGGCTCGTTGCCTTTTGATGGCCAGAATTTAAAGGTATCGGATAAATTTGATTGTAATGTTTTATCCCCAAGCATGATAATTTCAAAAGCCAGCTCTGAGTGTTTTTTTTTTAATTTTGGTATCATTAATAAACAATTACATGAGCAACATTGTGATTACCAGATTCTCCCCATTATCAAGTTCCCCCCACATACCCCATTACAGTCACTGTCCATCAGCATAGTAAGATGCTATAGAATCACTACTTGTCTTCTCTGTATATACTGCCTTTCCCGTGTCCTCTCCCAGCTACATTATGTGTGCTAATCGTTATGCCCCTTATTCCCTTTCTCCCTCCTTTCCCACCCACCTCCCCCAGTCCCTTTCCCTTTGGTAACTGTTAGTCCATTCTTGGGTTCTGTGAGTCTGCTGCTGTTTTGTTCCTTCAGTTTTTCCTTTGTTCTTATACTCTGCAGATGAGTGAAATCATTTAGTATTTGTATTTCTCTGCCTGGCTTATTTCACTGAGCATAATACCCTCTAGCTCCATCCATGTTGTTGCAAATGGTAGGATTTGCTTTCTTCTTATGGCTAAATAATATTCCATTGTGTATATTTACCACATCTTCTTTATCCATTCATCTACTGATGGACACTTAGGTTGCTTCCAGTTCTTGGCTATTGTAAATAGTGCTGCAATAAACATAGGGGTGCATATGTCTTTTTCAAACTGGGCTCCTACATTCTTAGGGTAAATTCCTAGGAGTGGAATTCCTGGGTCAAATGGTATTTCTATTTTCAGTATTTTGAGGAACCTCCATACTGCTTTTCACATGGTTGAACTAGTTTACAATCCCACCAGCAATGTAGGAGGGTTCCCCTTTCTCTGCATGTTCACCAACATTTATTGTTCCTATTCTTTTCCACAATGGTTGAACTAATTTACAATTCCACCAGCAATGTAGGAGGGTTCCTCTTTCTCCGCATCCTCACCAGCATTTGTTGTTCCTATTGTTTTCTGTGTTGGCCATCCTAACTGGTGTGAGGTGATATCTCATTGTAGTTTTAATTTGCATTTCTCTGATAATTAGCAATGTGGAGCATCTTTTCATATGCCTGTTTGCCATCTGAATTTCTTCTTTGCAGAATTGTCTGTTCATATCCTCCGCCCATTTTTTTAATAGGTTATTTGCTTTTTGGGTGTTGAGGCATATGAGTTCTTTATATATTTTGGATGTTAACCCCTTGTCAGATATGTCAAATATATTCTCACACACTGTAGGATGCCTTTTTGTTCTGCAGATAGTGTCCTTTGCTGTACAGAAGCTTTTTTGCATGATGTAGTCCCATTTGTTCATTTCTGATTTTGTTACCCTTCCCTGAGGAGATGCATTCAGGAAAAAGTTGCTCATATTTATAATCAAGAGATTTTTGCCTATGCTTTCTTCTAAGAGTTTTATCCTTTCATGACTTACATTCAGGTCTTTGATCCATTTTGAGTTTATTTTTGTGTATGGGATTAGACAATAATCCAGTTTCATTCTCTTGCATGTAGCTGTCCAGTTTTTCCAACACCAGTTGTTGAAGAGGCTGTCATTTCCCCATTGTATATCCATGGCTCCTTTATCATATATTAATTGACCATATATGCTTGGGTTAATATCTGGGCTCTCTAGTCTGTTCCACTGGTCTATGGGTCTGTTATTGTGCTAGTACCAAATTATCTTGATTACTGTGGCTTTGTAGTAGAGCTTGAAGTCAGAGAGCATAATCCCCCCACTTTATTCTTCCTTCTAAGGATTGCTTTGGCTATTCGGAGTCTTTTGTAGTTCCATATGAATTTTAGAACTATTTGCTGTAGTTCATTGAAGAATACTGTTCATTGAAGATAGGGATTGCATTGAATCTGTAGATTGCTTTGGCAGGATGGCCATTTTGAGAATATTAATTCTTCCTATCCATGAGCATGGGATGTGTTTCTATTTATTGGTATCTTCTTTAATTTTTCTCATGAGTGTCTTATAGTTTTCAGAGGATATTTCTTTCGCTACCTTGGTTTGGTTTATTCCTAGGTATTTTATTGTTTTTGATGCAATTATGAATGAAATTGTTTTCCTGCTTTCTCTTTCTGCTAGTTCATCGTTAGTGTATAGAAATGCAACAGATTTCTGTGTATTAATTTTGTATTCTGCAACTTTGCTGAATTCAGATATTAGATTTAGTAGTTTTGGAGTGGATTCTTTATAGAGTTTTTTTTATGTACAACATCATGTCATCTGGAAACAGGGACAGTTTAACTTCTTCCTTGCCAATCTGGATGCCTTTTTTTTCTTTGTGTTGTCTGATTGCCATGGCTAGAACCTCTCTGTGCTGTTTTATGCCTTAAAGGAACTGCGGGAGCGTGTCTTACGAGGAAAGTACCGTATTCCTTTCTATATGTCCACTGACTGTGAAAATCTGCTGAAGAAATTGTTAGTGCTGAACCCAATAAAGAGAGGCAGCTTGGAAGTAAGTAATTTTTTGTACTTCAAATGTAAAGTTTAACAATAAAATATTCCAGGAACTGAAGAGCATTTTAAATAATTTTTTCCCTGTTATTACTTTTTAGGAAAATTGCCAAATCATTTAATTTACCTTTTGTTTAGAGCTAGAGAAAGTGGCATGATTCTCTCACTACTCAATAGTTGTGACAGTAGGTTTCTTTATAGACTGTTGTTTCTTTATCATGCACTGAAGTATTAAAACAACATAAAAATAAGGATAAAATTGACCTTTAGTTGGAAAAGGCAGAAAACCTAGCCTCTGTTAGCAATTGCTTGATCCAATAGAGAAAACTTGTATTTAGTAAGTGCAAATATTTCAAGGATAAAAGAAGATAGTGAAAATTCTAGTCCAGTGAATACTTAGTGGCTTCATGTGAAATTAGTATCTGACATTAAAAAATTTAATGGAAACCTCTCAATGTCAGAAAATTTACAATTAAAGTAGAAAATATCAGAAATGGCTATTTCATTTCCTAACCCACTGTTGTTGCCTACATACATTCCATGTGTGAGGTTACTTATAATACTTTTAGAAATGTAGTAAGTTTGTTAGAGCCAAACAGCATCAAAGGTTCATATAACCACAATGTTTAACCCTTTTTCCTTCTGCCATTGCAATTAGAACTTATTTCTTAAGTATTTTTCCCCTCTGTTTTTAAGAATGAAATTCTAGTCTATACTAAGATAATTTTAGAGATTCAGCATGTATTGCTCACTAGTACATTTTTGTCTTTGTTTATTTGCCTTAATAGATAGGGTAGAAAATTCAGAGCATTAACCTCATTTAAACTGTACTTTTTTAGTGTAGCAATGGGACTTTCTGGCACGGACTCCATGCTGGTTAGGAAGCAGCCTTATAGTGAGCCATCCCTATGTACAGGGCTCTGAGGTTAGTTTGGGCTTTGTAATTTTATTTCCACAAATATTTTTCACTAAAAGATACAGTATGCTTTGATGGAAGTTAAGGGATGGTGACTTCCACTGGGAAATTATTTTAAATGCTTTATAATTAGTTACCAGATTTGTTGTTTTTTTTTACTGAATTGTTTAAATGTGATTCATTCCTTCCTATAATTTTTGTGTTTTGGGGGGTAACAGGATATGTTAATTGTGTTTTAGAGAAGCTTACTTCCATATTACTGCTTTTCTAAACTTACTTTCAACCATTATTCACAGGAAATTATGTGAAATAGCTAATATGTTAAAGTTGTCAGCTCTCTTATCAGTTCTAAAATTTTATTGCAACAGAATTCTCTTTTAATCCTGCTTTATGACCCACTTTTATTAGAGGAGCCTGGTTTACCTGAATGTCACAATAAAGAGTACAGACTTGAGGCGTCAGCTCTTCTAGTGAGCAGAGCAAAAAGAACAGACAGACATTATTTTGGAGTAGATTTTGTGAACTCTATGGACAATTGATAAGATGTACTTAGTGTCTTAAATGTGATTAATTTATAGTAGCCAAATATTTGTCTTTCATCCTTAGCATTAAAATGTGAAGGATTAAATTATTAAAATTCTCTGAGTTGAATTTAAAAGCCAAATTATTATTACTAAAACATTTGATCATCAGAAGTTCAGCTTGATGTATTTGAATATAGTCTGGAAAAACTAAGCTTTTCAGCCATGGAACCATGTGTCTGTATTGAAAATATTGTAATATTGCAAGTATCACTATGCAAAAGTTTTAGAGTGTAAATAAAAATTTTTACACAGTAGTAATGTTCTCATGTCATGTGGAATTTCTTTTTTTTTAAATTAAAAGTGTTTGGCATGTACTTTTGCTTTATTCTGAGAGGGAGCTCCTTCCTTGTTAAAAGTAGTGTTATTGTTCTTGGATTATTTCCTGCTTGTTGCCAATTTGAGTTGTCTTCATTGTTTTTACCAAAAATAATGTGATGTATTTTTTCCTCTTTGGGATATATGCTTAGATAAATTCTCCAGAGTATAATTAGTAGGTCAGAGGATATAAATAATCTGGTAGGTCTTATAATACATATGATCACCAAAAGGTTGTGTGTGCATCTGAAGGCACTGTTCTTCACAGCTTGATCCAGTATTAGGTACAATAACTTCTAGTATTTGATGCCCTTATGGTAGTAATATATTTTGTCATGCTTGCTTGAACTTGTTATTTATTTCATTAGAGATAATGCTCAATAGCTTTAATAACTAGGCTATCTATGCTTCTTTATGTATAACCTCTATGTGTTTCTGAACTGCTTGTCTGAAGGTGTCTGGTTAATAAGGTTTACAGATTTGTATCAGCTCTGTACATTTTAATATGAAATATTTCCCGTGTTTAAAACAATGAAACTTTGTGTATTTTTCTTTTGGTGTTACTAGAGTATCATAAGTTACTGATTAGAATTAATGCTAGTCTTTTTTTTCTATATAATTTGTTAATATTGAACTTTGACTTAGAGAATCTTATGTGACTGCTTATTGTCTTACTAAACTTCTGGTTTAACTTACATACCTTCGTATTGATTTTCAATAATATGTCAACTTACATAGCTTCCTGTTGCTTCTCAACAATAATAAAGTATCGATAAGATACTTTCTTAAATATACATGCTTTATTAAATTATTCTTAAAGCCTTGTAAGTTATGTCTCTTATTTTACAACCCATGAAAATAAAATTAATGGAATTAGTCTCACATTCTACTGCTTGACTATAGTTGTTTCTAGATCTAAATGGTTATATAATTTTTTCAGGCTATATATGTGAATGCTGTCAATGCTTGCTAACTTCATTAATGGGGGGGTACTATCACACATGATTTTAAGAAGGTTTGTGTTTTATGTTGTACACTAAGGGATATTTTTCCTATTTATTGGAATATTGGTGTGTCTAAATGTTTTTATTAGATAGAAATTAAAAAACTTTTCTGCTATCCCATCTATGTATATCTTCTTTCGTTTTTCTAGTCCTGAGCCAGGATGGATTGTGCCGCCTTTTATGGTAATGCAAAATAGGAGCTTAAAACAAAGCCTCTCCTTATTGTCCTTTCTCTATCATCTTTGGTAATCCTCAAAGAGTATTTATTTTTACTCTAACACATTTTTCAGTTGCTAAGATAATCTTTAAAATCTTCGTTGTCCTTGCCCCTGTGCAAGTGACAGTAAAACAAAAAATAATAATAACCTTTAAAAAAAAAGATTTCTAAGTGCAGATCCAGAAGTATATGCTGTACGTTTATAAAGGTTGAAGCCATCTAAGAAAAACTATTTCCATCTGGCCATCCTAAAGTCCATAAATTTTTAATGTGTACCTAAGTGTAGGGTATATATTTCCACTGTTAATTTTTTAAATTCTTTACAATTCATATGAGTCAATTATTTGCTAGAATTTCTCATCAAGTAGTCATTCATGTTCTTTGGCAGTGATGGCTGGGTTAGTCTTGTTGCTAATCTCTCTTGCTAAGTTTGGGATCTTATTTGACTTCTTGTTTCTCATTTTGAGGTATCTGAAATCTGAAATGGATTAGTCTGTTCAGCTGGTTTGCTTGTTGGCCTAGTGATTTACACCCTGCCTGAAACCACCCAGCTAGGGTTACATGAATGCTCTCCTGCCACCCAGCACCTCCATTTCCTGAGAATGTTTCTCCCTTGGCTGAAATGTTAACTGTGGTTCCAGTGGGAGGCTTTTGTAGGAGGCATGAGATTCCCACAACTAAGGGCAGGTATTCCACATCTTTTCTCAGACATCCATGCTCTGTTGCTTTCTATGCCTTATTCTTGGAAAAGACCTTTGGATTTAGAATTAATAGTTCATTTCCCCGTAAGTTCCCTTAAGCAGACATTCCTTCCCATACGTACCTTCCATTCCTTTCACCAAAGTAAACTTTTCCTCAGGTTTTTTATTTTGCTTTGAAATGCATCCATTTTAATGAGACAGACTTTGCGAAGTGGACTCTTGGCATCTCCCACTGACGAGAATAATAAGATAGGAAGCAAACCTGTGTTCTTTCGCTGCTGTCGATTGTCTTTTCCTATCACTGTGACTTTCCCACTTGCGCTGGACCAGCCCCTCACCAGATGTGCCGTGTGAGGGCCAGCAGGGTCGGTGCTCCTGTGTGTCCTCAGATTGTTCCTTTTGCCGTGCTGGTTTTAAAATGTTTCTTACCTTCCTTGTTAATAAAATACAGCATTTCACCATTGTATTAAATCAAGTCTAAGTACATCATCTTTACCTCCCATGCTTTCATTGCATATATGACCTTTGTTCCGAGTCAAAGGAGAGACCTTCCTTATTATTCTCCCCTCACATCCCTCTGCCTTGACTTTTCCACCAAACCAAATACCACTCGTATTTCAAGAGTCGGTTCGCAACCTACCTCCTTATGATTCCTTCCCTGAAAACTCAGGTCCACACTGCAAGTTTCCCTTTTTGGTCCTAATTAATACTCACTGCTAATAACACAGTTTTGAATAGTTAATTCTACTGTGTATTGTAATATTTTCAGGTTTCATGAGTAAATCTTATCTCCCCAAATAAATGACAAGTCACCTAACGGTTTGGTCCACATATGTATTTTTCTTTGATATAGGTAGATGCTTAATGATTATGAGATTAATACCAAATAAATGTAGTTTCATTGAGAAACACCAGAAAATTTGGGTTATCTTAGTTTTGCTTTTAATGCTTATCTTCCAATTATTAAATCCAGTACTGCTCCTATATTTCTTACTTAATACATGGATGTCCTATTCTGCCAGGAACCTGAGTTAAAATCCTTGGAACCTTCGTGGAGTCTGTCCTTTCCCTCATTCCCAAAACAGGTTTGTCAACAAGTGGCAGAGATCATAGCTCCACAGCTCTTCTTTCTTCCATTTCCTCCTGTCCAGTTAGTCGTCCGTTATCTATCTCCTGAGCATTTTAATAGCTTCCAAACTGTCTTGTTGCTAATCTCTTCTCTGTTTTTTATCTTACCCAGGGCTTCTGCAGCAGCCTTATTTTA